GAAATCAGCTGGATATCTGGATATCCAGATATCCTTGTTTTCAGCTTGGAAATTATCTGGATATCCGCAATCGTCAATATCCGGATGAATCGGAAGGCCTATTTTGGAGACTTGTAACAAAAGAAGAATCATTCACAAATTTGAATAAATAATTAATAGGAGATGATTAAAAGTTTTGCTTCTGATTGTACCGTTACTGGTTTTATTCGGTTTAATGTTGCGTCCAATTAATCATTCGATATATTGTTTTGTGTTTTGAAAGAAGCAAAAGAAGTTAAGCAGTTTTATTAATCCTCCCGTTATTGGTAATAAATTCGTTCGTATTTTTTATTTTTTTTTTACTTCTTTTCATTAATGTTGATGAGAAAAGAAACTTCAATTTTGAAATAATAACTCAAATCATCAAAGTTCTGCCTATGCTAACTTTTCACCATTAAAATATTAAATTTACTCAAAAATTTAATTTTAAGCATTCTCCACTAATTTTTCGTATTGTTTGCTAATTTTTAAAAGACATGGTCAAACTTAGTGATTTCATCTCGCAATTAAAGAGTATATTTAGTCTAAAGCTTGGCACTCTTTTGTCGCTCTTTGTCTTATTTGTGATAAATTCAAACAGTATAAATATAACATAACATAACGTATCCGCTCTGAAATATTGATTTATTTGGTTGATTTAATTTTCTACAAATAACAAGTCAAATTGAAAGTTTTTCTATTTCGGAATTTTTGTTCCATCGAATCTTTCAGTCAGATTCCATGCCAAGTTTTTACTCTGTTTTTCGTTTCATGACCGCCACTTGTTTATCTTGTCATTGAGTTTGATATTGCAAATAACAAATATTTAAAAGTCATTAAATAAATTGCTTTATTTTTTAACTCTTCTCATTTGAAAAACAGGGGATGTTTGCCGATTCTCATTGCGGTTTGTGTTTGGATTAAAATCCATATAATGACGAACGAAATTAAAGTAAAGATACTAATAAATAAAATTCCTAGCTTTTCACTTATCACTTTATCATAATTTATTTAAGTTGAATATTCAAGTCTCAATTTTCATTCAAAATGTGATCAATAAAACTTGAGCCAATAATTTCATTAAAATTTATTTCTGTTTTTCTTTTTGTGATCTATTTTGCAATCGGAGATACTGAATCTTTGCTGACACCCCTCGATTTAAATTAATGTCAACCCTCTGAGACACATGTCTTTAATGAGATTTAGAAAATAAATGGACTTTTTTTCATCTCTTTTTTGTCGAAAATTGATCGGTTCCAGTGAGGGTTCACATATATTCGTCATAAATTTATCTGGTTTCTTCTTGTTGTAAACTGTATAGCAAAGACTAACATTATGGAATTAGCATGATAAGAAACATTTCACAATTTAAAATACATGATATAACGTTGCCTGTCTTGTATTGAGCTTACTTCAAAAAATTCTGCTTTCTTTTGATTTCAATTGTCAATTCTTTTCGCTTTAAGAACGTTTCGTAGTACTGAAATAATCCCTTGGATGAGTTGTGTAATAAAAAATTACTTTCAATGCAAATTTAATTAAATTCAACAAGAAAATCTTTGTAAAGCCTTCCAAATGATTGAAAGGCGTTTGCAGATTTATTTATGTATTCAATTGAAATTGGAGGAAAAAGCAATGGAAGAGAACTGTTAAAACAAGTAGTTGCATCAACAAGTCGTTATTCATTTCAGCCATTGTCCACAAAGGCATGAATACTTCTATAAAATATTGTATTATATAAAATAAAATATTGTTTTATCAATGAAGACTATGAGATGATCGAATCCGAATTCACAGATAGTTAAAGCAGATCCATATAAAAACATGCATACCTACTTAGTTAAAAGATGTTCTGTTCTAAATTCCCTTCTTAATTCATATTTGTATTTATGTACGCCAGTGGCAATAAAAAAAATCAGTGGCTTTTTAGTTTAGTAAAGTCAGTTTTTATGGCTTATTTGCATACGGTTAAGAAATTGTTCAAAAAACATGAAAAATCACTTAAATAATATTTTTACATACCTTTTGTGCTTTACACATTTGTGAAATTGGCTGAACATCATGCGAAGTATGGCGTTGGTCATTCAAACATTGACTGCACGTCGGTAGCTTACATCCCATGCAATATAATGATAATGTCTCGGAGTGTTCTAAGCATATAGTTTCACGCACTTGAGACGCACCACGGGGTTTCGTCAAAGTATGTTTTGCCAATGGACCGCGCGCGGGATGGCACAATTCGCGACATTGATCGCAATATCTGATTTCACACTGTTCACAAATGACAGCAGCAACTTTAGGAGTGTCAGATTCACACATTTGGCACCTTAGTGCTTCACGTTCACAAAAGCGATCTACAATTGATTCCATTACGCGATATAACGGTAAATTTCTTGCCCCAAGTTCATCAAAGAATACAACTTTTCGGCAAAGTGGACATGCGAGTGAATAAATCGAACCAGATGGTAGAAAAAGTAATCCTTGTAAATTTGGCGTTCCAGCATATGAAGCTGGCCGTGAATTATAACAAATGACACCCGAGTCGGCTTCGCTTAAAATACTGACTTTGTCTGCTTGGTCTTGATCACTTGAAACACTTTCTGTAGTGCTCGAACTGCCCGTGCTGACCGATGACGATGATGATTGAGAATGTTGTTGAAGTAAGTGTAACGATGGGTGAGTGACTGTTGTAGTACTCGACGATGAGGGCATTTGATTATCAAGTGCACATGCTAAACATAGAGCATGAAAACACGGTAAAAGCACGGGATTGACGTAAAGCTGCTTACACGTCGGACAACGCAATTCTTCCTCCATATCTTTGCTTTGATTTCAACTCCAAAACGTCAAAAATAATTTCGAAAGAATTCATAAAATTCAATAGAACTATTTTAACATATTTGCTAATTTATTCTTTTAACTAATAAATATAAATTTTTTTTTTCTTAGCCTAAATTGAATATCTTGAAATAACTTTGCAAAAAAATTTCTTTGATTTTTCTTTTTTATTTTTCACTGAGACTTATATTTAAATCTGGGGTTTAGGAAACCTTTTCCAGTTTTCAATCATCTATTTAATTTATTTTCACTCCACAGTAAAAAAAGTTATCCTTATAAAGTCCCTTTTGGAGGACTTGAGAAGTCAGTTCACATAATCCAATGAAAAAAAATTTCTAGCACCTTTTGCAAAAGAAATGCTTCAGTTGTTTCTTTTAATTGAGTATTAATTATATTTATTTCACTCAAACTATATAAGAACAAATAAACACAGGTTCGCTTTGATCCGCGTCTACTTTCCTATTGAATGAAGCACAAACATTGAAACTGAAATTGTATAGAGATTGAGTAGAGCTGCAGTAGACAAATTCTCTCATATTTCAATGTTTTCATGATTGTTTCATTGCTTGATGGTTTATGTTTTCAATGTGTTTTGTTTCTCTTGAAACATTAAAAAATAAAAATTTCATTTTCATTTCCGTTTCACTGAGCTTTCATCAAAAATATATTTGAAAATACCATTTGGGGGATACCAAGGGGAGAAAAAACACCATATATGTGTTTAAACGTATTCACATAAACTTCAATGAGTGCGCGTCTATTTATTTATTTTTTAAATCAAATAAAAGAGAAGGAAGAATACTTTTGTTACAAACATTTTTAAGGAGGTGACAGCATGCCAACTATTAAGATAAAATCATTCAGTTCCCAAGGTACTGAATAACACGTGGCAACGCAATCAAGAAAAACGTGTGTTGATATATGAACTCGTTTGTTGTTATTGATTTAATATGTTGATATATTATTGATTACTGTTTATCACAACGAAACAACGTGTCTCTGAGTATATTTTTCACTCGAAATTAAGTTCACTATTTAAAGACCAAGATATGATGTTATAGATATATTATATATTAAACTCTGTGTATATATTTTTTAACTCAAGCCGGAAATTAATTTTTGATAAGCATCCTCTTCAAATTTATTGAGGAAACTGAGATTCGTCTTCATAACCAAAGCAATGAAAACGCTTTTACTGTTGGGGGAGCATCAGATAGCAACAAGAGATCATTTGACCCACTTCTTATTCGTTATCTGAAATTCTATCTTCAAGCATAAAAGGAACTTGATGACAGAGACTTTAATGTAATCTAAGATATTTGAGGATAAAATTATAATGAAAATTAAATAGAAGAAAGAATCTTTAGTCCTTTTCAGTTACTTTTGCAAATGATTCCATTGGTATGAGTTTTAGATAATATTTTTAAAAGTTTCGCTCTCATTATGCAATGAGAAAAGTCATTATCATTCTTCAAAAAATCTTATTAAATTTTGCCAAAAACTTATATTTTTTTATATGCTTCGTTCATTGCTCCATAATTCGTCTTATGGCTGCAAACATAAACAAGAGCCGCCAAAACCAATACAATAAAAACAGGGGAAGAAATCGATTTCTTGACAAAAATATAAAAAATAAAGGAGAAAATTACATTTATCAAAACATATAAAATCAGACACCCGACCTAGTTTCTTTACACTAGTCAGAAAGCAAGAAAAAATGAAATGTGAATTGAAGGGTGGCAAAATATTATCAATATCGAAAATTAGATTTGAAAACCAATCGTTTTTCATACAATTTATGGTATTAATCTTTAAGTGAAGCTAAAAAGGAATAATCAAAATAATTATGAGTCACATTTTTTGAGATACTTACATCTAAATATATTATATATATTTTTTAAAAAATATATTAAAGAACTATTTACACTGTGAAGAGATTTATATTCTTCTTATATTTAACATATCTGTACAGATACCAAGAAGTTAATCCTCATTTTTATCTAACCTAATATTGATACATGTCTTTTTGTTTCGAAATACAGTGAAAATTAACATGTATGAAATTTATTCTTATTTATTATTATTACTTCAATCATACAGACTCTTATAAGCCCAAATAGAACGTCTAGAATGATTTTATTTTATAAAAGCATCAAAATAAATAATAATAGTTTTACTTAAATAAGAAAGCAAAATTAAGAGCATAAATCGATTCCTCCTCATGTTCTCACGATGTTTGGTGGAAGTTTTTATTTCTTGAAATGGTCGTTTTATGACTTTTTAATAATACCTAAACAGGTTTCATTCTAAAATTTGAATATCTGGGTGAAGTTTTAATTCTACTTAAAAAAATTATTTCATCAAATTTCAAAAGCAGAAATTTTAATTAAAAATTGTTTAATCTTCCGGAAATTTTATTTCGTTTCTAGAAATTTACAGTCTTTTTTTGTATTGAAGCTAGATACAACAAAAATACAAATGAAAAATATAATTATCTAATTCGTTTGATTTAAACATATTTTTAACTATCTACTGACAAAATAAGAAATATAGAGAATATTGGGTTTTAATAAAATTTATTTTGTATCGTGAATACTTAGTATGTACCAGAAATATTTCAAATAGCAAATAATATTTTTTTGACTAAACACAATATTTTCAACCATATTGCCAGAATGTTGAACATTATTTAAAGAGTGCACATTAAATACGTTTAATTTCTTCTCTTTAATTTAATTGATTTTTTTTTTAACTTTATACTTGGGGCAATGAAAGACACTGCCAATTGCAGAAAGTTTGAAACATGTCATAGCATGTAAATATACAATATATGTACATATTGTGATGATTCATTCATTTTAGAAGAGCATCCTTTTCGTCACCCATACAGCTAATCCAACATAGAAATTTAATTTAAATCTTAAAGAAGGTAAAAAATTAAATCTGCATGAGGGAGAGAAAATATCATTTGTAGGCGTTTTCAAGTCTAAATTTTTATTGCAAAGAAAAAATCTATTTAATTCTTCTATACAGCATTCAATCGTTCAATTTGAAAAATTGCATTTCATACACAACGTGGCACAGAATGAATGAGTGAAAGAAACCTCACACACAGATATTTGAGGGATGAACATTTTCCGATCCCTTATGTTTGTGCATCCCACTCAACTGTGAAAATGGAAAAACAACAGCAGTAAAATTTTATTCCGAAAAAAATAATGAAAATAATAAATTTTTCCGTCACAACTGTTGCAAATTGGATGGTATATTTTTATTACATGAAACCCGATGTTGTAAACTCATATTGTTCATATATTTAATGCATTCCTGTGAGAGGCAAGGAAGCGATCTAACTGTTTGCGCAACCCTCTTCGAATTCTCTATGGCTTAAGGAAATATTTTGTTATGTTGATTCTTCTTTTTACCTTCGCATCAACGAAATGAAAATGGATTTTACATCATGTCGAAGCTCAAGAACATTTATTCCAGTGACTTTACAGATTTATTTATAATTTTAGTCAAGTGAACGCAATTATTTTGAGATATGTTGTCAATGCTTTCGGCAAAAGTGATAAATTACATTGACATCAAACATTGACTGATGATACTTCGACTTGTGTTTTCATTTGTAAATCCTTGATGTAGAGCACATTTCAAAATGTTGTTCAGAAAAGAAAAAAATTATATAGGAACGAAGAAAGTATTTCTATCGTGATTGATTGACTTATTGGCTTCGTTATCATTGGAGACTTTTTTTGACTCTTTCAAAGGGAGCAACAGTTAACGAATTATAGAATTATTATTTTGTCACCAAAATTGACATTTTCCAAATATATTATCGAACAGAAAATTTTAAGTCCATCTGTCTTCTAAAGGTGACGAAAAAAATAAAAGCATTTCTGCATTCATGCAAAGGATATTAAACATATCTATCATGTTCGTAGTTTGAATCAATTTAATAGAGTCAAAATAGTTTTTACTTCACATTAAACCACTTTTAAGGGCAAAAAAAAAACTTTGATGAAGTCAATTTTGAGTTCTTAAAGTTGAATTTCTCATGAAACATCGAATACGTGTTTTGTGGTGTGTTTCTAGGTTAATGTCATTTGAAACTCAAACATAAAAGAAAATAATTTCTTTAACCATCCTTTCTTTAGTAAAAAATGATGTTTTTTCTGAGAAATGTCTCATTTGAATAGAAGCAAGTGCAAAAATTTAGTTCTATAAAAAAAAGTATGAAAGCACAAGCCGATAATGGGACAAAGCTTTTATTATTCATAAAATGAAAATTTTCTCTTGCTACTCAAAACTCACCCAGACATAAAAAAAGACATGAAACATCTGTGGTCTTAGATGTGCGATTTTAAGGAAATGCCTCAGAATAGAGCAAGTACCTTAAGGTTAAAAAAAGAACTCTGTTTCTATAGCAACACCGCACATTCAAAAGGAGAAAAATCTTTCAAGTCTTTTTTCTTCCTTTATATCCTTTCTTGCATATCTTAATTTGAAATTTAAACAATCTTTCGTAAATGTTCTCAACTTGATGATCAAACAAGAGTATTTTATTGAGCCATAAAATGAATCAATCTCTTTATTCGCAATAACTTTCTCCAGCTCAAAGGAAAATAACTATGTATCAATATATTGCAGACTACATTGATTTCGTAAAATTATGACTCAAAAAGTATCTAGATACTTTAGGTATGAAAGCAGTACATATTTCATTATTAATAAACTTACTTAGTTGAAACAAATCATAAAAAATACACATTTTTTGTTGATTCTCCTTAAGGAAAAGTTTTATATTGCTATCTGTTATTAATAGTAGCGAATTATTTACATTGTTTACTTCAAAATCTGAATCTGAAGCATTTTAATCATTCCTAAAATATTTTTATACCTACAATTCGATATTTAAAAATATAATAATTAAAAACATATGTAATGAAATGCTCAACGCTCTTAATGAGTTAAGAAGA